GCTCAAGGAAGTTGGACATAGTGTTGTATTAGAGGTAAAAAATTATATAAATACTGTTCGGTTTCTCGCACAAACCGATCGTTTCGTGTCTTAGGACATCAATGTGTCGTCACAAGCCGCAGGGTTTAATTTGGATTTGTCTGCGCATGTTTTTTTTACTCTCATAGATTTTGTTACCATTGCCATGCATAATACGACTGATAGACTGCAACGGCTGGAGTTAAAAATCATCATATGTGTTCTACTGAAGAAACAAAGTCACCTACATCTTGGATGCCCTGGGGGTAAGCAGATAAACATCAAATTTTCATTTTTGGGTGAACTATCCCTTTAAAATGCAGAACAAAAATGTAAATACAAAACATACACACACACACACACACACACACACACACACACACATACATACACATACACATACACATATTTTAACTTTTAATTAAATAGCTCATTATTTTAAATAGGTGACTATTTAAACAGCATTACCTGCTGTTAATATGACAGCAGGTAATGAGAGAGGTTGATTACTGGTAAAAGAGAGTGATTACTAACCAGTTATTGACCTGCAGTATAGTGAGCCCGGTGTCTTGGGCGAGCTGTTTCTTCTGTTCTTCGGACGGGTACGGATGCTGAGACAGGACAAAAACGTAACACATGATCAAATAAGTCAAATAAGTTATATGGAGTGCTGGGGGTTACCTATTTACATAATCATATTACTTTTTGGAAAAGTAGCAAATAAACTAATGCATTGATTTTTGATTTTTAGAATGACTTTTTCAAGAAAATATATTTGAAAAGTAAGTTTTTTAATAACTTTAATAATTTCTTTATTCACTCAAGTCTGTTTGTTACCCACATTGTTTTTATTCTTGCTAAATACCTTATCCAAACCTTTTATCACGTCTTCTTTTTCTAAGCTCTGTTGTCTTTGTTAAGTTTCGTCAAGCTCAGTTTCCTGTTATTTGCTTTTCTGCCACTAATTTTAGAACCTAATGCAACTGTTTCTCTCAAACCTTATAAAAATGTACCATAGTAACCATACTTTTTGTCCAAATAACACAGCTTCTACATTTATGCTGTTATTTTTTCCATGGAACAACAAAAGGAAAATGTTCAAGTATATTTTTAACTGTAAATGAGTTGGTTTTCTCTCTCACCGACAGGTGCTGGAAGAGCCAAGCTCTCATAACGTTTGTTGCAACTTTGGGAAAGATTCCTCTTTTCTTGTTGTTTCGTCTGTCTCTATCTGTTTCATCTTCTTCTCCCGTGCTGGGAGATGCTACGCTTCCATCCAACCCATCACCTGACACAGCACAACACACAAGCATTATGAAATATCTTGTTGGATTGAATCGAAAATGCAAAATAATCGTTTTTTATTTACAAGATGATAACAAGATGCCAGTCGTTGAATGAAACAATGTAGCTTTTATTACTGCATATAGTTGACACAATTCCCATAAGATTTTTATAAAACAGTATGCAGCATAAATGCTACACTTCACTATAGCACTTCATTTAGAGCATAGCCATTGTGTGTAAAATGAGAAGTACCGGCATCGCTGCAGTTCTCTGCGCTGTGTGAGGTGAGGCCACAGGAGGCACTGGGGGTGCCTGAGGGGGTCGACGCACAGTCATCCGGGTCTCGCAACCAAGATTGATTCTAGATCAGGAAAGACAGACACAGTCAGACACACAGACCCAGGAAAAGGGAACAACTGATAAGTGTCAGATGTCTTCTGACTTGTTCTGACAGATTGGTGCAAGAGCCAGTGAAATCTTCCATGTCAGATTTGGATCCGCCCTCTCGGTCCTCCAGCACCAAATCAATGGGCATCTTGCCTTTTAGACAGGTGATGTACCGATGGCAGAAATTATCACAGAGGTCATGAACCTATAAGAGACAAGTGAAGATGTCAGGCTGTCAAAGATATCATTGCCATTTATAAAGCTAAAAATTCATAGCATGTTCATTGTGCTCTTTCGTATACAAAAAAACTGACAGTACTGCGACAATAGCTGTCTATCTCTAAAAAGGAGCCTGGTACACCTGGTTTTAAACCATGCGAGCGTGCTATTTTGTGTCACTGCAAGCAAACCTCCAGTGCTTCATTTTGACATGCCATGTTTGAATATAAGGAGGCATGAATGAGATTTTATGAAGGATATAATTTTAAAAAATGGAACAAAAATAATAAAAAATAATAAATGATGTAAGTAAATTATAACAGTATTTTCAGGGGGTAAGCTTTAAAAACATGTTGGAATAGAGAAAAACATACCTTTTCTAGCTCTAATAGATGAAACCGTAGAACTTGAATGGCCTGGATCATCTGTGCAAAGAGATCATGTGGTTAAGAATGGTTACACTCTTTGCAAAATTACATGAAGCCATTTCTTTAAAAGAAAGCTTACGTATATCTTACCAGATTATCCACTTCTGGATTCGATGAAAAGATAGGTTTCTCTGATCGAATCTAAAATAATTAACAGAAAAATCATTATGTACTGAATCTGATGCTTGATGTATCTGTAGGTATTATTCTAGTAAAGCCACAAAAATAAAAAATAAAACACTTCAAGACATAAGCCTGTTGCCTCTGACATTTTAAACTGAAAGTTGAAGATCCCAGTCTATTGTTCTCTCTGTACAAAAGGCCTTTTCAGGGGTTTTTAAACTTTCAAATAAGGCTTTGTCACGACAGAATTCAAAGTTTGTCTTGACAAACCTTGCTTTTCTAGTTCAAATGTACAGTTATATGAATTTATTTGAACTTTCATTCATTTAAAGGGGTCATATGATGTTGCTAAAAAGAACATTATTT